GATGATGGCTCCAAGGTACTCCTGTTTGAAATGCTCGAATATAATTACTATTCTGGCCGCATCCTTTCTTTCCATGCACTTATGGAGATGCGGCGTTGAAGCCACTGCTGCGGCGGCGGCTGTGGAGGAACTGATCCCCATATCTGAGCACTTTGAGCAGTGGATGATCCTCAATGAGCGCTCTTATAGAGATGAAGTTGAGAAGGCAGAACGCCTCGAGATCTTCAAGAAAAACAAACAGTGCGTTGAGTCTTTCAATCTGAAGGCGGCGGATATTGAGATATGATCAAAGCTTAACAAAGGAGGTGTGCATGTGTGCATACGTGGCCATGCACACGTAGAAGACTTGTCATCTATTTATTATTTTGTTATTGTTAATCCATTTGAATAAGTCTTATGTTGTTAGCATCTTTATAGGAGCTGTTTTAGTCTTTGCATTTGTTAATGGCTGTACGTGGGATATGGCTAAAGAATAGGAAGTAGTTCGGCCATTTTTTAATTCATTTGATCAAGCATTGTAATGGGTATTTATACCCCTAATCCGTATGATAATGTATGTGTGTTTGCATCCATTTCTTTTGTATTTTCCTTGCTTGAGTTCAACACTTGGTATCAGAGCTTAAGGACGATCCAAACACCTGTTTGAACGTCTAACATTGTGAGGAAGAGAGATCACACAAAACAAAAAAAAAGGAGAGAAAATATGCCAAGGCTCAAGCAATGGAAACTCTGTTAATCAACTGCCTTTGTTCAAAGGAGTTAATTATCATTTCTGGAGTTTGAAGATGAAAACACTCTTCAAATCTCATGATCTATGGAGTATTGTGGAAGACGGATTTGCAGATGATCAACCGGAGGAACCTGATCAAAATCTGAGAGACAAAAGAAAGAAGGATGCAAAAGCCCTATATCTCATTCAACAAGCTTTGGATGATGATATTTTCCCTCGAATTGCAGCTGCCTCAACCTCAAAAGAAGCTTGGAGTATTCTGAAACAAGAATACCTAGGAGACAAGAAGGTAATCATGGTGAGATTACAATCTCTTAGAAGAGAAATGGAGAATGCACGCATGAAAGATAAAGAAAGTGTTCAGGACATCTTTCAAGAATTACAAGTTTAGTGCAGCAGATGAAATCCTATGGAGAGGATATCAAGCCTCAGCAGGTTGTAAGTAAGGTTATGAGAAGCCTTACACCTAAGTATGGGAAACTAGTGTGTGCCATTGAAGAGGCCAAAGATCTGGAAGTATACACTTTTGAAGAATTGAAGGGATCCTTGCAAGCTTATGAGGAGAGGGGCAACATGGACTGTGACAAGGTGGAAGAGCAAGCCTTTCAGGTTAGAGGGGAGGCACCTCGAGACCAACAACCTCACTTCCCAGGCAGGGGAAGAGGAAGAGGTAGAGGTGGAAATAGAGGAGGCTATAGAGGAAGGGGCAGAGGTAGAGGTCAATTCAATGGAGGAAGGCAGGAGTCTCACACCAATAACTCTAAAAGTCCTTTCAAATGTTACTACTGTAACAAGCCAGGTCATAAGGAGGCTCAGTGCTGGAAGAAAGAAGAGGATCAGGAGCAAGGAAAGACTGAATCCAAGTCAAATTATGCTGAACAAGAAAATCTATTCGTGGCTCAACATAATTCTGATTATGGTGACATGTCCATTTGGTATGTTGATAGTGGGTGTTCAAATCACATGACCAGTTCTAAGGACATGTTCAAGGAGATAGATGAGTCAAAGAAAAGTGTTGTGAGGCTGGGAGATGGTAAGCAGCTCAATGTAGAAGGGCTTGGTACAATATCTCTGCAAACTGATCAGGGCAAGGTAAAATTTTTACAAAATGTTCAGTATGTGCCTCAACTTGCCCATAATTTGCTACGTGTTGGTCAACTTGTGTATGTTGGGTATTCTGTTATCTTTGAGAATGATATGTGTGTAATCAAGGATAAGCAGAATGGTGAAGTACTGATGAGAATCACAATGGGAAAGAATAAAGTCTTTCCATTGGATCTCTCAGGTCAGTATGGAAGGGCATTAATTGTCAAAGGAGAGGAAAATGCCAAGTTATGGCATCTCAGACTTGGGCATTTGAATATTCAAAGCCTACAAATGCTCAGCTCAAAGGAGATGGTGTATGGCTTGCCAAAGACTGGTGAATTGCAGCTTTGTGAGGGCTGCATATATGGTAAGCAGACTAGGGGCTCATTTCCCAAAGGAAATACATGGAGAGCAAGTGAATGTTTGGAGTTGGTGCATGCTGATTTGTGTGGACCTATGCAGACTGAGTCATTAGGAGGAAGTAAATACTTCCTAATGATTACAGATGACTTTAGCAGGATGTCTTGGGTGTTCTTTCAGAAGGACAAATCAGAATCCTTTATGAACTTTAAGAAGTTCAAATCACTTGTAGAGAAACAAAGTGGGCTAGAAGTCAAAGCTTTAAGAACTGACAGGGGAGGTGAGTTCCTATCTAAGGAATTCACTCAGTTTTGTGAAGAACAAGGCATTAGAAGAGAACTCACAACACCATATACTCCTGAGCAAAATGGAGTTGCAGAAAGGAAGAATAGAACCGTGGTAGAAATGGCAAGAAGTATGATGAAATCAAAGGGTTTACCAACTGAGTTTTGGAGTGAAGTTGTGGTAACTGCAATATATATACTCAATATCTCACCAACAAGAGCTTTGAAGAATCAGACCCCATTTGAAGTTTGGAGGAGGAAGAAGCCCTCAGTTGGTCATCTCAGAGTCTTTGGATGCATAGCTTATACTCTTATCAACCTAAGAGCTAAGCTAGATGATAAGGCTGAAAAGTGTATCTTCATTGGATACTCTACTCAATCCAAGGCATACAGGTTATACAATCCTCATACTGGCAAGACAATCATTGGGAGAAATGTTATCTTTGATGAGGAATCATGCTGGGATTGGAAGCTGCAGGATCACCAAAGCAAGGGCATGCAAAGAATCATCAGTTTGGAGGAAGATCATGCAACAACTGAGACAACAGGTCAGCCTAGTCCACCACCAACACCTCAGAGTTCATCATCATCACCAAATGGTCAGAGTTCACCATCATCTCACTCAACCTCAAGCAGTGATTCACCTCCAAGAAAAGTAAGATCCCTTATTGATATTTATGAATCCTGTGATCTTGCTCTTCTTGCTAGTGAACCTGAAGACTTTGAGGAGGCTGCTACCCATCATGAATGGCAACAAGCCATGAAGGAGGAGATCAATTCCATTCAGAGGAATGATACATGGGAACTTGTGGATCTGCCAAGTGAAAAGAATGTGATAGGGCTGAAATGGGTGTACAGGATAAAGTATAATCCAGATGGCAGCATCTCAAAGCTCAAGGCACGACTAGTGGCAAAGGGCTATGCACAGAAGGAGGGAATAGATTATGAGGAAACCTTCTCTCCTGTGGCAAGGTTTGAAACTGTGAGGGTTGTACTTGCAGTGGCTGCACAAAGGACACTACCTGTGTATCAGTTAGATGTCAAATCAGCCTTTTTGAATGGGGAGCTTACTGAAGAAGTGTTTGTGGAGCAGCCCCAAGGTTTTGAAATCAAAGGTGAAGAAGGCAAGGTGTATAAACTGAAGAAAGCCCTATATGGCCTAAAGCAGGCACCAAGAGCATGGTATAGCAAAATTGACTCATTCTTCCTCAATAATGAGTTTAAGAGAAGTGATAATGAACCTACATTATATGTGAAGAAGAAAGGTATGTCTGACCATCTAATAGTCTGCCTTTATGTAGATGATATCATATATTTTAGTTCTTCACATATAATGTTAGAAGAATTTCAGAATTCTATGAAAAAGGAATTTGAGATGACTGATTTAGGTGTTTTGAAGTATTTCTTTGGTTTAGAAGTTAAACAAGGTAAAGCAGGAACTTTCTGATGTCAAAGAAAGTATGCTACCGATCTACTTAAGAGATTTCACATGGAAGGGTGTGAAATTGCAAAACACCTATGAATACTAGTGAGAAGCTGCAGAAAAATGATGGTACTGAATATGCAGATGAAAGACTCTATAGGAGTATGGTAGGAGGTCTGAATTATTTGGCAAACACCAGGCCAGATATTGCATATAGTGTGAGTGTTGTTTCCAGGTATATGCACTCTCCCACAAGGCAGCATCTTGGAGCAACAAGAAGGATTCTGAAGTATGTGGCTGAAACTTTGGACTATGGCATCTTGTATGAAAGTGTGAAGCATTTTTCATTGCAGGGTTATACAGATAGTGATTAGGCAGGCTGCATAGATGATAGAAAAAGTACTTCTGGGTCAGTATTTGACCTAGGATCTGGGGAAATTACTTGGAGTTCAAAGAAGCAGGATACTGTGGCCCTATCTTCTACTGAGGCAGAGTATATAGCTGTTGGTGCTGCAGCTAAACAAGCTCTTTGGATGAAGAAACTATTGGAGGATCTTTGTTGTAAACAAGAAGGAAGTGTTCAGGTATGGTGTGACAACATGTCCACTATAGCCATGACTAAAAACCCTGCATTCCATGCTAGAACCAAGCACATAGATGTCCAACATCATTTTATCAGGGAGCTGGTAGCAAAGGAAGAAATTACATTGCAGTTTTGTGGAACTGAAGCTCAGAATGCAGACTTGTTCACAAAGTCCTTAACTCTTAAGAAGCACCAATATTTCATGGAAAGAATTGGTATGGTCAAGCTTGGATCAAGGGGAGGTATTGAGATATGATCAAAGCTTAACAAAGGAGGTGTGCATGTGTGGCCATGCACACGTAGAAGACTTGTCATCTATTTATTATTTTGTTATTGTTAATCCATTTGAATAAGTCTTATGTTGTTAGCATCTTTATAGGAGCTGTTTTAGTCTTTGCATTTGTTAATGGCTGTACGTGGGATATGGCTAAAGAATAGGAAGTAGTTCAGCCATTTTTTAATTCATTTGATCAAGCATTGTAATGGGTATTTATACCCCTAATCCGTATGATAATGTATGTGTGTTTGCATCCATTTCTTTTGTATTTTCCTTGCTTGAGTTCAACAGCGGAGAAGAACCATACGTACACACTCGGCATCAATCAGTTCTCGGACATGACTGATGACGAGTTCGCCATCAAATACCTGGGAAATGTTAGTCATGATGCAACCCGACAGCGCCGCCAGATCCCCCCGCCGTCTAAGCGGATCCGGAACCGGACGGAGTCTCCGTCGCCGTCATCGTTTCTGAACAATAATGATTATAATGTGAGTTTGGGTCAGCTTCCGGGCAATGTAGACTGGAGGAAAGAAGGTGCTGTTACTCGAGTCAAGAACCAAGGAATTGATGGAGTTGGTTTTGGCTTCTGTTGGGCGTTCTCTGCGGTGGCGGCTCTGGAAGGGATGAACAAAATCTTTACCGGAAGGTTGCTTGAGTTGTCGGAACAGAACGCGATAGACTGTACCCCCGACCGCGGCCATGATGGGTGTTGGAGTAAACACATGGAAGATGCATTCGATTATGCGTTGGGTAACGACGGCCTTGCGAATGAGACGGACTACCCCTTTGTGGGTAAAAGGAAGGAATGCAAAGACTATTACATTTACCCAGCTGGAGGCAGTGTCTCAGACTACACAGAGGTGCTGGAGAATGATGAGATGGCTCTGCTCGCCGCCGTCGCAAGGCAGCCCGTCTCCGTCGGCATCACTTACAGCCGTGACTTCATACCATCCTTCAAGAGCTATCACTCCGGGATTTTCAACGGCGGACTCAACGGCGACTGCGGAATTGGCAACAACCACGCACTCGCCATCGTCGGATACGGCACCGTCGTCCCGTACGCTCCCTATTGGATTGTGAAAAACTCTTGGGTGCCTCGTTGGGGAGAGGAGGGTTATGTCAGAATGGCAAGACAGAACGGTAAGGGCGGAACTTGTGCCATTAACAACGATGCCCTTTACCCTATCCCCTACTCTACTGATTGATTATATATACTTTAAATTAATTAAACTTGCTCCTCATTAATCATTTCCCACCCTGCCATTATCACTGTTTGTTTGTGAATCTTTCTTGTTTCCCTTACTTTGTCTATCTAATTTTGTCACTTTATTGTGATCCCTATATGGTTTCCATCAAACAGAGCTGATGATAAGCTAATGTTTAGGTTATCCACTTTCACATTTAAGTTCAATTCTTTAGGTCCTGTTTGGTTGGAGGGTTTCGGAGGGGAGGGAAGGAAAATGAGGAATTTGTGTGTGTTTGATCGAAGGAAATAGGGGGAAGGGGAGGAAAGTGGAAGACATTCAAAATCTTACGCTCCTCCCATTCTAAACCCCCCAAATCGGAGTATTTCGAAGGAAACGTGTTCGATAACCACAAACTATCCATCTCCTACGTGAATGAACAAAATGTTATAGTATAAAAAGGTAAAAACAAAAAGTTTTGAAAAATTTAAAAATTTAAAAATTTAAAAATTTAAAGATTAAAATTTAAAAGTAAAAAAAATTAAAAATTTTAAAAATTAAAAAAAAATAAAAATTATAAATTAAAAAATTTAAAAATTAAAAATAAAAAAATTAAAAAAAAAAATTAATAATTCCAAACTGAAAAATGAAAAGTTATAAAATTAAAAAAAGTAAAAAATCAAATAAAATAAAATTATGACTCATGACCACAGGAGTAATATTCACAATAGTTAGACATATATTTATTTTTTAAGTAAGCTATCAAATAAAAGTAAATTGCGAAAATATTTTCATTAAACCTTTCCTCCTATTTCCTCCAACCAAACACAAATTTTTATCAAAATCCTTCCTTCCTCTTTCCTTCCTTTCCCTCCTATACTCTCCCCTTCCCTCCCCTCCTTTGAACCAAACAAGGCCTTACTGTACTTCGTATATATCTGTATCTATAGACAATACATCTATAGATAATACATTTGAGAGATAACAGTTAAGAAAGTATGCAACATGCTCTAAACTATTCTTAATTACAACTTTTAAAATACACAGAATACCTATGAATTGTAGTGTACAACTAATATACTATCTACTACTCCTACAAAAATAAAATCTCATACTAGTATTTTTTTAATGTGTTATAACCTTTTCTTTTGTACTTTAATTGTTACGAAAATTATATCAAAATTCATAACTTTTTATTATCTTTTAAATGACACCAGTATTGAATATACAAAGTTGAAAAATAATTTAACACTTTAAAAAACATCTAATTTTTAAAAGTTATACGGAGTATAACTTTTTATTTGTACTCTATTATTACAAAAAATATATCTAAAATCATAACTTTTTATTATCTTTCATATGATACAAAAACTGAGTATTGAATATAAAAAATATTGTAACACTTTAAAAAATATCAAAATTTTAAAGTGCTATAATTTTTTATTTTTACTCCGATGGTTACAAAAAAATATATAGTAATTCATAGCTTTTATTATCTTTTATATGTCATTAACGTTGCATATAAAAAGAAAAAAGATCTATTAATTTGTGCAGTTTAGGATAGTTTTTTTTACCGTACACACTATTAATTTGAATATCATAAACTTCGAAGGGGTTTGAGGTAAGTACCTCAAACTTGCACATGTAATATCCCAAAAGTTATGTTCACACCATGATCATATAATTTTTCACAAATGTAATTGAGATATTACCCAAAATAGAGTTTGAAAATTCCAAAATAGGGCCGCCATGTTTTTATTCCCAAAATAGAACTAATTAATGGCATGTTTTGGCAGTACCAGACTTCAAACAATGCAGTATTTTCTACACATGGCAGTAATTAGTCCTATTTTGGGAATAAAAAACATGACAGTCCTATTTTGGAATTTTAAAACTGTTTTATTAGTCCTATTTCGGGAACTTTCCCAATGTAATTTTATAGAGTTAAGTACATAATTTAAAATACACAAAGCATTTATGATGATGCAATTAAAATTATATTGAATTGGATGTAATATACTCCCTCCTTCCCAAAAAAGTTCACCAAATTGACTTCTCTTGGTCAATGACAATCAACTTTAACTAATGATATTTTTTAATACATAACTAATTTGAATATGAAAATTATATCAAAATGTTCCTTGTTCAAAATAATTTCATAAGGGAGTAAAATTTACAAATTATACTCCGTATATACAAATATAATAATTAAGACCATTATATTGGCCAAAGTTTGCCATCATTAAGCAAGAAAAGTCAATATGATGAACCTTTTCGGGACGGAGGTAATACTTTATTTTACAGATAAATTTTTAGATCGTTAATTGCATCCAAACAAAGCTTAGAGTATGTTAAATTATGGAATTATTGCAATAAATTTATGTTTTCAAAGACCATATAATCATGGTGAAAAAAATAAAATTTTATATATAATTTGGGTTATATATATTGCATATGCAAATTTGGGGTATTTTCTCACACATACAAAGTTTGAGATAGTTATTATTTTCCCCTTAATCTAGAGTCATAGATTAAAATAGCACAAACTTCATCACTTTTATTTATTGTTTTAATTATACCGGTACCAGTCTTATATAAAAAAAAGAACATTTCAAACAAGATTAGATCAAACCAGATCAGAGTTCGACAATCGCAAAGTACACGGGAAAGTTCCCGAAATAGGACTAAAGCAATTTGAAAATACCAAAATAGGACTGTCATGATTTTTATTCCCAAAATAGGACTAAATACTGCCATGTTTAGAAAATACTGCCATGTTTGAAGTCTGGTACTGCCAAAACATGTCAGTAATTAGTCTTATTTTGGGAATAAAAACATGACAGTCATATTTTGGAATTTTGAAACTGTTTGTCCTATTTCGGGTAAAATTCTCCAAAGTACACATAGAACAAACATGTACCAGATCAGTTCAGATCAAATCAAACTAGATCAGACTTAAATAGACAGACTAGACAGATCGTACATGAAGATTTCAATCGAATTGACATGTGAAAGAACTGAAACCACACTTTCCATCAAACATAGATTATCACAATTGTAGTGAAATACAATTTCACTAGACTACTGCTTATAGAAATTTTACGTACTCAAACGCAATTAACACAATTTTACTACTCTTCTTACACACTTTTCTCATTATTCCATATAAATTCTTCTCCCCACTTTTCAAACTCATCTCGCCATGACATCTTCGCACAATCTCTTTCATGTATTAGCGTCCGTAAAAGAGAGCTACACAACTATTGTTAAAATCATTACTCTATGATTTTTCACTGCTAAATTACTTTATAATCATGTTTTGAAAAAAGTATCAAAATCATATGATTTAATGAGACCCTAAATACTCAAAATACTAACGGTAGTATATAACAAATCTCCATTTAATACTTTTTCAGTCTCTTTTTATCTATTAAATATCATGCATACCTTTCTTAGTAACTAGTAGGTTAAACTTTTAAATATGTTAAAACAAAAGTTAGACTATTTTACCAAGTAGATACAGTTCATCTGAAGCTGTTCAATTTGGTTTAGAATCAAAACTTATAGATTGAATCAATTCAGAATCAAAAGTTAAATTGAAATGATTATACAAAATCTAAATAACGTTTATGTAATTGGAATTTCAACCATTATAATTGTTTTACAAAGGATAACCAATACTGCTTATTCTTTCAATAATTATTTCATTTAAATCTTCATCTCCCTAGATATATCCTTCCACCTTTTTAGAATATTTAAGATGTTTTTAATTGGATTAGTTTTAGTCTCGGACCAGGTCAGACTAGCGAGAACATACTAGATCAAACCATGATATACTTTGACAGTTGTAAAATACTTATAGAACAATATACCATAGTAGACCCATTCAGATCAAATCAGAACATATATTGTTCAGATCATCAGATCAGATCATAAAAATTCAGACCAATTAAAAACACTCTTACAAGAGATTTACATGTAAAAACACAATTTCACTCTAACACAGATCAACACAACTTCACTAGACTCTTCTACAAAATTTCACTCAAACACAAATTATGAAATTAACACAATTTGACTAGACCCATACGCAATTAATAATCGATTGTAATTATTAATCTTCTTATTTACTACTAATTTATTTGTCTTCTTATTCCAATAGTAGAAAAATGGTCTATAGTGACAAAATTAATGTCACTAAAAGTTTTAGTGACACTTGAAAAGTGTCAACAAATGGTGGGAATTGCGACACTAAAATTAGTGTCACTATAAAAGTGTCAGCAAATTATGACACTCTAACATCATAAAATGTAGTGATAGATTTGTGTTGGTATTCTAAATGACACCGACACACCATCTAAACTAATGATCCAATAATATCATAAACTTTTTTGACACGTTGGTATTGTAAAAATTTATGACTTATTGTACAAATTTATGACTTATTGGTATCATGTGTATGTTTATCTGTAATAATAAGATCATAGTGATATATACTAACGAGATTATATTATCTCATATTAATAAAATCATATTGATATTTATAAATAAACAAAACATTCAACAACCACATTCAATTAATAACTCAAATTGTTAGATCCACATATTCTAATATTACCAACACAAATATTTTATCGAAGTGACAAAGTTTTACACATCCAACCGGCACAACTAAAAAAGTAACACTTCTACGTGCTAAAAACATGTTGATGCTGTTATTGCTAAAGAAATGTTGAACTCAGAAGAAAGTGCTCATCACGAAGAACAAAAGAAAATTGGCCGAGTAGCTTGGAACATTAAACGTAACCTCTACTATTCTGCCAACGTCCATGCCCAATACATCTTCCGTTTGGATTTCTTTTACAACACTAGGATGAAACTGAAATTTAAGATGAAAATATTATCATTCTCGGTTCACTACAAAAACATTACGGGATTGACACGGAATTTGACACGAAC